TTTCTTTATTCCCCTTCCCCCATTGGCTGTGCAGAACTGTGGAGTTGCCCTCCACTGTGAGAAACAGTAACAGAACGGCGCTTATTTATTCCTTTTCCCTTTTTAAAAGTCACTTTGTTGGGGCCATCGAACCAGATAGGACGAGCATGGCGTTTCTTGCGGAGAACGGGTGGTTCCCAGACTAGGCCTTGCGGCGCTTTCCTATGGTGAACGTGCGAGCGGGTCAGGACGAGCTGTCGATCTTCCTCTCCCCTGTTTCAAGCGTGCGTCGACTACGCGGTCATCGGCGTCGTGAGTGACGTCCCCGAACGATAGTCAGGGTGTGTATAGATACTCGTAGGCTATGGGACTGTAAAGACTGAGGGGTCAGAGAGATCGTAACCGTGTTGTACATTTCATCCATGTACGGAAAGTGTATGTACTTGAGCTTGAATCGTATTTTGCATAAATGATTTCTTTTCCTTGAACTTGTCTGTGTCTGAGAGCCAACGAACAACTGCAAATGCAAGCCCAACATTTCAGCAGCTGACGCACTCACCGACGCTGTGTCCATGATTAACAGTAAGACTACAGTTGACTCGCAGCATTCCCAATATATTATTTGGATAACAACGCTGACGCAAGTGAGGAAAATTTAAAAGAGTATTGAAAATACAGTAATGACCTAATTTTTTACTCCATATCCAACGTGAATTGTGAATAATATAGCACCAGCTGCGCTTCTTCATTGTTAAATTGCTAAGTCAATGCATCCTGTGCAGCAGGTACTAAAAATAGATATGAAATTGTCTTTAATAAACGAAAAGGTAAAGCGTAGCTTCTCGTTCAGAATCAGTTAGGCTTCAGTTTTTATTTGTTACACAGCATCGATTACATAACTCTTGCATAATGACGAGGGTCCCAGAGTACAAATACTAAAACGGGACCCTCAGGTAAAAAGTACAACGAACGTCAATGAAAAACAAATGGCCGAGGTTTAGCAGATGGTAATAAGAAACTCGCACGAGGCAAAACTCGCAGCAAATCGCTAGAACAGTTAAAAAAATGAAATCGTACCATAAAACAAAAGGCACTATGCGAAAAATAATATAAAAAGCAATTCAAAGGAAAGCCAAATAAGACACACAGAAGCAGTAAGGAAAAAATAGTATGCACAAAAAATTGAAAGAAAATTTGAAAATTTTACAAGGGAAACGAAAATACGTACATATTATATACCATAACTATAAATATTATATACCATAAATATAAAAATACCATAAAATATTATATACGATAACTAAAGTCAGCAATCAGGAGTTAACAGGTTACCCGTTCAAAGCCCATAAAGTGCTACACAATTCACTCTACCTGGAGAACTTTGCCAATACAACAGAAGCTTGATACCTGCAGCCTTACTCAATAAACAATTGTATCGGGGCAGTTGGTAAGGATCCATCTTGCTAGGAAGCGCAGCCACTATTACAAAGAACACACAAGCGCTTGTGTTGTGTAATCTTTGTAATAGTGGCTGCGCTTCCTAGCAAGATGGATCCTTACTCAATAGTTTTGTGGGATTCCACCTTACCAAACACCTAATTTGTCCAGGACATATTGACATCCGCTCCGTCTACCAGCTCTGCGCAGATGCAGCTGGTAGCTGAGGCACGTGATTCGCAACATTTATAAGGTAGTATTTAGTATGTCATTCCATATGAATGAATGACATTCTGACATAACAGACAAAAAATGTTTCCAATAAATAAGGAGACTCTTTGGGGCAACTGATCTAGCCAGGTAGTTTTTTAATGTGTCAATGTATCTATAGATCAGAAGAAATAGTGCTCAACAGCGCAGACGACTATATATTATGGTATATCCACACGCCCAAGCCAACTGTCTCTTATGCAGATTAGAACCAATTCTTTTTAACCAACTTCCTTAGATTTCGGAATCTTTTAGAACATAGAAACGTAGCATTACCGGCTGTGAAAGTGTTTTGTCATTTGACTGGCGCTACCTGCACGACTTGGTTGTTGGTGCTGCATATCTCAATGCGCTGATCTTTAGAGGAGGTATGCGTTCCATACAGAGCAAACTTATAGCTTTAAATTAGTTGTCATCTCGCACTGACATTATCATAAAGCTTCCGTATAAAGGCGGTTGTTCTGTAGTCATTAATAGGTCTGATTATACCACAGAGGCCCTCGAGCAGCATATCAGATACCAGATTTTATAAATGACTTTATCATGACCCCACAGAATATCACAAGTTACTGGTCAAACGCACTCTTCTGGGTTTTAAACAGAGAAGAAAATAGCTCACAACGCAATTCAGTCACTCTTTCCACGAAGTATGGTAGCCGGTCATTTTTCTTGCTACTGAAATCGCATAAGCAAGACAATTCTGATCCTTCTGTAATTTACGCTGTAGGTACTGCTACGGAAAAATTATTAGTTTTGTAGATTCCCTCTTTAGCGATTCCACCGAGAACATAAGTTTTTTTGTTAAAGCAGACGTTTAAACGTTTTTTAATTAGAAACGCTTGGATGATGACGTGTTCCTTATTTGGACACTTGGTGAACAGGAGTTTCTTTCAATAATAAATAACCTTTAACAATTCCCACACTTCAATATCGATTGTTCATGCGTATTCTGCGTCTACTAATCATTTTTGATGTGGCCATTTTAGTTACAGACTTCAAATGATCCATCGTGCTGCACAGAAAGCCTACAGATCGACAAATATGTTTGCATTTTGATAGCATCCACGTAAAACACTGCAAGACTAGAATCCCGTATTGCAAACCATTACGCTTCTGTAGAATCTGCTCTAACCCATCGAACTTTCAAAAATATTGTGTAGTTCTTAAAAACACCTCGTTGAAACAAAAATTTCCGCCGCAATGTGCTGACGATGTGATCCAGTGTGCAGGTACATGCGACCACAGAACGCATCTTTATACCACGCAGCCACCTACTCAGCTGTCCCACACAAGCCTAGGGCTAAAGTATTGTGGTTCAGTGCCTTGTGTATCGGCTGTACTTAACAAGCATCTTACCATTCTCATGCAAAGCGACAGCCTGAAGCACATCGCAACTGAACTACCCAGTGCAATGTACTGCAGAGCTAGAAACCTTCGCCACGTACTATCACCTTCATCATCACCTAAGATTGCTCACAAACGACATCGAATTCCATCCATGTCCCAAACCGCGTTGTAGGTATGCCCCCATATGTGCACTTCCCAAGAGGTCACCAGTACGCCTTCAACCTTTCATAAAAAAAAATTGAAGATGACTTCGATTGCACCAAAAATGTAAGCACGCTGCCGAACCCACCTTTATCAAAACATGTGCATCTCCCCGGTCACCGTCTTAATAACGTTACTAGAGTCTGGATTTCAGTCTAATTATAACAGGGAATCCTTCCGAAAGCACAAGCTTGATACAGTCGCACCTTGTTTTAATGAATGCGCTAGCAAATTAAAATGTTTGTGTCTGTAATCCACCTGTTCTAAAAAGGAGTACTTTCCTTGTTCATTGAGCTGTGATGTTATTGTGTTTTTGAGTATCTTTACCTTTCCGGTTGTACCTTTCCTTTTTATTGTATATTTGTTTTCCTTACACACGTGTATAATATCAGCAACGTCATTCTACCACTTGTATCATCATCATCATCATCATCATCATCATCATCATAATCATCATCATCATCATCATCATCAGCCTGACTATGTCCACTGCAGGACAAAGGCCTCTCCCATGTTCCGCCAGCTAATTCAGTCATGTGCTTGCTGCTGCCAATTTATTCCCGCAAACTTCTTAATCTCATCTGCCCACCTAATCTTCTGTCTTCCCTTGACCCGCTTCCCTTCTCTGGGAATCCAGTTAGTAACCCTTAATGACCACCGGTTATCCTGTCTACGCGCTACATGCCCGGCCCATGTCCATTTGCTCTTCTTTATTTCAACTATGATATCCTTAACCACCGTTTGTCCCCTAATCCACTCTGCTCTCTTCTTGTCTCTTAAGGTTACACCTACCATTTTTCTTTCCATTGCTCGCTGCGTCGTCCTCAATTTAAGCTGAGCCCTCTTTGTAAGTCTCCAGGTTTCCGCTCCGTAGCTAAGTACCGGCAAGATACAGCTGTTATATACCTTCCTCTTGAGGGATAGTGGCAATCTACCTGTCATAATTTGAGAGTGCTTGCCGAATGTGCTCCACCCCATTCTTATTCTTCTAGTTACTTCAATCTCGTGGTTCGACTCCGCGGTTATTACCTGCCCTAAGTATACAAACTCTTTTACAACTTGAAGTGCACTATTACCTATTTCGAAGCGCTGCTCTATTCCGAGGTTGTTGTACATTACTTTCGTTTTCTGCCGATTATTTTAAGACCCACCTTTCTGCTCTCCTTGTCCAACTCCGTAATCATGAGTTGCTATTCGTCCCCTGAGTTACTCAGCAATGCAATGTCATCGGCGAAGCGCAGGTTACTAAGGTTGTATTACCTGTATCACTTGTATCAGCGATGTTTTTAAGCAATTCATAAGCGTTTTCTTCGGTAACTTCACGTTTGTTAGCATATTTTCACTCTTTTTAATATGTGCATGTATATTGCCAGCAATGTTGTTACACATTTCATTCTAAGGAACCTAGAGTCCCGAAAAAGATGTCAATAAAACTGCATCGCACGCGTGCCTGTTTGACTTTTCTGTGAATATTGCAAGAGACCCAGAAGCCCTCTGTTGTGCGTGTGTGGTTTATTAGAAGGGGACGCTTACAAAAAAAGCTGACTAGTTTAACAATGAAAACATGTAATTCCGTAAGTTTGACATTGCATGCCCTGAATTATGTATTTTGCAACAGTTAGCGTCTAATCTAATGTTTCAAAAAACTGTATATGATTTTTGTGCACGCATATTGTGTGTTGTAGCCCCATGGTTCTTCAACTAAATGTTTCGTTTGAAAATAAGGACCACCTTACGGTATATATAAAAAAACGATTGCTGCTTACCTTTATTACACCAATGAGAAGGATGACTGAGAAGATTATTTCGATGCAGCTTTCGGTTATCATGGCTATTGCTACGTAATGGGGATCTGTAATAACAGAAAAAAAAAACGTTATGCAGATTACGATGGCTGCAGCGATGAATCAGAGTGGTTGCTTCAAGAAGTCTGTCCTAAAAACAGACATTAAGAGAACTTATGTATTTATGCATAAAAAAATTAAGAACATATGTCAAAAGACTGCTCGCTTTCATCTTATTCCTATGGCGAAAATATCAACCATGTTTATTATATTTTTATTCATTGATTACGCTACGTTACATAGCACGATGAGGTTGCAGCTGGGGTGTTTCAGGGTCCAAAAAAAACACATCCTAATTGTAGCATGGTTGCTGATATGCTAAGCACTTTCATTGGCTAATAGAACGTCTGGTGCGGTGACCTAAAGGTTTAAACAATTATTGTGGTGCGAAGAGTGTAGGTCTGAACAAAAGGAGTGGCTTGCGAGGTCAACCCAAGAAATATACTTCGGGATTAGAGCTCACTTTGTTGCAGATTCAGCAAAAAAATTTTACAACCAGACTCACTCAGACTAACCAATTTATTCACATGGACTTAAACCTGTACTCACGGCTCATTTTAATCCTGAGTTAGTCGGAGAAAGTCAAAGCACGAGATTGTTAGCTTCCAATAGGCGTCTTTAAAAACATGATCTTCAATAAAAATACCTCACTCAGTGACTGTCCTATGTGATACCTCTTCATATTGTGCCTTTTAAAACGCGAGATACCAGTTGTAGCAATCCAGTTAGTACAGCAAAGACATAACCGACAAGAAATGTTTCAACAGTAGGGCTGTTTATACTGCTTGTTGTTCGAAGTAGCATGAAAGAAATTATTTGTATTATTAACACATAAACGCGCTCGCTTTATTGTCTTCTGTTTCGCTCCCATAACTTGTGCGGCCTAGAGTGTAACGCGATAACTCAGATGGGCAAGTATGTTGAGGCACTTTTAATTTGCATAATGTTACGTAACCACTACTCCTGGATTTAAAATCGCGTAACGATGGGGAAAATTACGTAAAGAGAGGTTGTTTTATAGTGCCTAGAATATAGTTGTGTGTTCTAGCCGACATTTTGACAAGCGCGCTTGTTTTCAAGGCTACAACAGAGCACACAACCACAGTCTATATATTTTCTCATCGCAATCTTTCAGCTTCCTCTTCCTGCCGTTTCTTTTTCAGAATGAGATTGCATTTATTAGTCGAGCTATATCGAGAATCCGGCGTTGTCCACCACGGTGTCCGCCTGCCGGCAGGTGTTATTTTCCCGATTTCACTCCCTCTCCCATAGCAACAGCTGCGGGCGCGCGCACTTATCGTCGTTCCTAGCAATCAGAGCATATGGTGCTAGACAGCGTAGCAGAGGGTAGGTGCAGTGATTTGGCGCTAATTCTCTCGCCGTTCGCTTTCTCTCCTCCATGAGCCCCACTTTCCCGTCCGCTCGCGCCTCACTCTAGACAGTTCACTGGCTGGGCGCTAGTGTATTCAGAGGTTTCGGTGTCTTTGTACACTGTGTCTTTGTACACTGTGTCTTTGTACATGTATATAGTTTTGAGAACGTCTAATAAAACCGCAATATGTATGCAACTGCTACCCGTAGTGTGCCGGTCACAATACTCCTTCACTACAATGGCGACAAGTGTTTGAACCCGGTCTGACACGCTCCCCAGATGCCTTTCGCTGACATCGCCCCACCAGATCCGTTTCTTCCGGCACCGGATTGCGCCGTATAGCCATGGTCCCGATGAGGCGACATGTTAAATATGTTAAATGTCTATCTGCTGGCTTCCGGTGCTTAAGAGTTCTCCACAAAGTGACGCAAGGCTATCCTACTACATTCCTGGGGACCCGAAGGTCAACGTATTTTCAATACCCTGTCTGTTTCGCAGGCAGCCAGAAAGACAGAGGAGAAAGGAGGAACCGGAGTTAGGCCTGACGTGTATGACTTTGCGGTAGCGGCACCTGCTAAGCACTTCGTAAGCACCTGCAACCTGGTCATCGGGCGCCACCGATTCCACCGTCGAACTCAGCCCCAGGCGAGTCAATTCAAGAATGCATGACCACGCTAACAGAGCTTGCCGCGATGTGCTCATTTACGTCGCAAGAATAGTCATTACGTGATCAGTTTGCGGCCGGCGTGTCCTGACAATGCGAAGAACATGGTAGGACAAATTTTAATGAAATTTATCGGCTAGATGGACGAGCGAAAGCATACCAGCGCACACCTGTTCCGTATGTCGGCAAAATCAACACTGTGTTTTGGAAGCAGCCAGCGCGCGCAAACGAGCTGCACAACTTCAATTTTTCTTTATCCGTGCAATTTACTTGCTCACGTGCAACACAACTAAACTTACAGAACCGTATATTTGGATAAGTGCATTTTAAAATAGACTGCCAACGTCATACACGCGCGAGAGAGCATAATTCATCAACAATACCTCGTCAGTGTGGCACATCGACGAAAGCAAGGACTTGCGTATTTACGCATGCAGAAGCTGCGCGCGTTAATGAGTGCCGTACACGAGACTCGATCGTCAACATTCACTCATCCATTGCTTTGTAAGTTTCGCAAGGATGTGCGCGCCGAAGTACACACGCTGCGTCTACCCAGTCGTGTTACATCCCTTACTTATCTGCTTTCATTCTTCATCTGCTTCCTTCAGTCAATGTGTATTGCGAACGCAGAGCACTCAGTTATGGAGCAGTATTATAAATGCAGTTATTTGTTTGATTTATCAACGTAATTATCTTTCCGCTGACCGTGGGCGATTGTATGCATGTCCGTGGCATTCGAAAGCAAAACGCACGACATTTAAAAAGGCCAACGAACGCTGCCATTAACATTCAATAAAACCGGAACGGCAACGAATACGGCCAGAAAGAATTCCAAATAAACACTGGGCGTTTAAAGAACAATACTTGGGGCGCTGACTCCGTACACAGTCAAAGCGGGCGATCAGTATTTTTTGGTTTGCGGAACACATCTCAAATACATCCCTTCCAAAAGTATAAGTGGAGAAACACTGGCAACTGCCTCGCCACAACGACACCACTTGTCAATACCCTACGTCACCGGCGTCAGCGGAACAGAATAGGCAGCCTGTGTAGGGTGGCTAGCCTGGGTGACTGTCACCCGCAAGCCATCCACCACGCTAGGCGGCTTCATTCCTGAGCCCAAAGGTCACGCACCTGCGGATAAATCTCAGAGCGTTGTGTACCGTATCTCCTGCGCCGAATTGGGGAAATAAAGAAATTTTATGAATATAAAAATATTATATATGTATACTTATCCAAAAACTACCCCTATTTCTTTCAACAACTTGCTATAACTAAATAAATCCACTTCGATAATCGATGGCACACAACCGAAGAAAAAAACACGTGTCAAGCCCCCCCCCCCCCCCCAGAAATCAAGAAAAGAAAACGAAAAAGGCAATCGCACTGATTTACATTGCGTCCAAAAAAGCAAATTCCGAATCTGTTAGCAGAACAGATGCCGGGCTGACGCACTTTTCACCTCTTTGCTTTGTTCAATATGCTTCCATTATTTCTCTTGTCACCCGCTTCTTGTTCCTGTAAGTTATTCGTGTGTCTGAAATTTTCGGCTGGCAAGTGAACACCTTGCAGTGCGGGCCCCCTTTAGTGAACTCTCATGTTCATGAAGGAGCACATTCAGACAACGACATGTTTGGCTGACGTATATTCCTTTCCACACGTGGAAGGGGTTCCGCACACACCTTTTTCGCACTCAACGTACCTACTGTCATGTTTTATGTTACATCGATTTGTTTCTCGCGTTCCTTTCTTTTTGGCTAGCCTTTCTAATACCGGCTAGTCTTTCTACATTCACTAGGGTCTGCAAGACAGCAAAATCTTTTTTAAAGCAAACACCATAGTAACGAGAAGAATTGTTTTTATCGCCTTTCCAATTGAAAAGGCATGATTACTCATTAATGCTCTTTATGAGGATGCGTAATGCAATAATACCAGGGCCTTTGGAAGATCTCCAGGCTTAATAACGGGTGATCCAAGTAAAAAGACACAGCCTTAAATTCGACCAGCAACAACTCCGCAGAAAAAAAATGAGCTGAATGGGAACTATGTGAGAGCCATTTTACTGAATTATTTTTCTTCAAAAAATCATGTGGTCGCATTACCACCTTTGAAAGTGCTGGCAAAAAGGAAAAGTCTGGCGGGAATAAATTATCCGTATGCAACCTTCGAACTGGGTATGGCGACACATTCCATTTTAAAGCATTATGTTGTTAATGTTCTTTCACCTGACGTCACAACTGAAATCATATTGCCACTAGAAATTGCCATTGCTCCGCGCAACGCGGACGTCGGGAACCATAGAAACGCTAACGGCACGACTACGAGTGACGAAGCCAGCCGCAATGCACGAGCCGGCCCTGCATGCGCCCGGTACTCCGCCGAACAGCCAACGCGCGTGAAGAAGAGCAGAACGAGTGTGCTCGAGGCAGAGGCTCACGAAGACTACCGCCCTTGGATCTTCTTGATTGCTGTGCGTCGTTCACTTTGGACACAAGTTCACCCTTAATAAACCGTGTCAATAGAACATCCTTGTTGTGAGGCTACATTCGCATTGTAGTATTGTAACGAACGCTACAATGTGAATTCGAATGTAGGATTGTAACGAATGCTACAGTAGTTACATTTTCTCGTGGAGGTGCGGGGTAGATGATTCCAAACCCCACGAGAGAGCGAAGTCCAAGCCCTGACCATTCCCAAGCCGTGGAGCTTACGCCGGTGCACCAATGAATCAGTCGCCGTATTAGAGCGGATTCACCAAAATTTGGACCACTTCCCCCTGTGCCAAAGGCATCAGCGACGGAAACAAGAAACACCACCACCATGACTAGCCAAGTTGCACCAGCACAGCTCATTGTCAGCCAACCCGTCATACCGAAGGTGTTCCATGGTGACCCGTTCGAGGACGCCGAAGACTGGCTGGATCATTTCGAGAGGGTGGCGAACTTAAACCAATGGAACGAAGCGGCAAGTTG